CCAGCCGCTAGTTCCGGCCTCTCAGCCTCAGACACGTCACCCGGCGCCGACCTCCCAGCACCCCCTGCGCCGCGCCGTGGATCTACTTCCGGGTTGTCCCGGCTCTTCTGGTTGCCATAGAAACAGGGGCGCGGCGTCCTGTAGCCTCGTTCCCCTCCACTCCCCTTCCCGCGCAACATGGGAAGAGGCAATGTTGCCGCCTGCGCTCCTTTCCTCGCACCTGAAATAGAGCAACCAAGTTAGATATTAATTTGAAGTAATCAGAACTCTTGAGGAGGTGATAGCCTGGTCGTCTCTGATTTAAAAATCCACAGTTTTCGGATTAAAATAAAGTAATCCCACATCGGTTCCTTGGGTAGATGTGATATCTTTTATTAGACCAACTGGGTAATTGGAAAAAAGGTCTTAGCAAGGTTTCACCCTTTTTCAGGCATAGGGAGTCTCTGCTGGTCTAAGACACCAAGAAATGAGAGAAACTAAAAGTGTGGCAGGATGTCAGTGTAAATAGGTAGAAATTAGGAAAACAAAAGGTAAAGCGGGGAAGGGAGGGGAGAAAAAAGCAGGGGGAAAGAAAGCCAAAGGTGAGTAAGGGGAAACTCTACAGTGGCGGTATTTCAAGGTGGAAAAGAGGCCATCTTTGAAAAAGGAAATAGCTGGAAATTAGGAAGACAAAGGGCAGAAAAGTTGGGCTGGGTGAAGAGTGGGGGGAAGAAAAATGCAAGAGATCAGGTGTGGCAGGTATCTGGTGAATTAGATTGTAATGTGTCATAAATCCAATATCTATATTGAATCCATGATTTTTTGTATCTAGTAGATTTATGAAGTGAAGTTCATAGGCTCGTCTATGGAAGGTGTTTTGTAAATTCCCTTTGAGGATTAGAACTGAGAGCTCGGAGGGGAGTGATTGTCCTGAGAAGTGTGCCCCCACAAGTAGTTGGGTATTTTTGTCACTGATAGATTTCCAGTGCCCCGCTCTCAGAGCTGGATGTGGCAGTTTAGTTTATCACCAGCCAGCAGGGGAAGAACATCTCTCTGCTGAGCTCCCATGCCAGGATGAACTTGGAGTTATGTGCTGGGGCTGTGGGGAAGGAGGCGGCCCCAGGTCCTGGGCATGACCTAAAACTGCACCGTGCCAGGGTAGAGAGGCCTGGTGGGACTGCCGGTGGCGCAGCAGCCCCAGAAAATGCCAGGACCACAAACCTCCCTGATGAAAGGCAGGTTGGGGGTACCTGAAAACCTCCAGCCACTGCACGCACGCACAGTCCTGGCTGGGGAAAGCCCAGACCTATAAAATCTTTGAGAGCCCTGAGGCTTACTGGTTGCAATGGAGTTGTGAGGGGGAGAAGTCAGGCAGCTCAGATCTGACCTGAGGTACCCTCAACTGGTCTGTGTTGGGGCCAGGACCCAAAGGGGGAGTCAAAGGGCCAGGGGCCCACCACAAGGAATGCCCAGAGCAAGAGGCTCAGGATTCTGACTGGCCTGATGGCAGGGCCAGGGCCTAGGGTCCCAGAGAGGAGACCACAGCTGGAAGACATGAAGGATGCAATCTGTGAGGCATGGGCTGCAGTGTAGGGCAGGTACGGAGCTGCAGAATGGATGTCACCCCTAGACATCAGGGACCTAAATGGGCAGCCTCCCACCTGGGTATCATCTGAATCAGTTTTCCATCAAGGCGTGGCAGAAAAAGACGGGCAGGTGATTGGCCCAGAAACAGGTGGGCAGGCTGAGATCTAACTGGCACTGGGAAGGCCCCCTGTTACAGGCTACCATCTCTGCTGCAATTGGGTGTTTTTGTCTTTAATAGATTTCCAGTGTGCATTCATTCTGATGCACAGTTGTTTGGTCTCTCCTACCTGTTTTCTATCAAGGCATCTGGTGCACTGGATGAGATATGTAACATTTCTGGAGGTGCAGCTGTAAGATCCAGGAATGCTGATGGTACTGTTGTTGTAGTGGGGGTGGTGGAGATCTGCTGGCAGGTTTTACATTTCTTGCCATGCCATGGTCTGGATCCATTTGGTGTGGTTTGGGTCATATGAAGTTTGCTTCTGATAATGAGGTTGGCAAGGTTCAGTGCTTGTTTAAAGGCTAGGATGTGTGGTTCTGGAAAGATCTCTTTAAGAACTGGGTCTTCTTCTGGTATGGGCTGCAATTGTTTGAGGATTTTCCATGTAGGTTCCAGGGAAGGGTGATACATCATAACTAATGGTGTCCCATTTGTGGGGATTTTCTTTTTGTACTGCAGCAAATCTTCATGTGGTATCCAGGTGGCTCTTTCAAAAGTGCCATCTATCTCTAATAACCCTAAATCCACATTTTTCAGTGATTTAAAATAAGACACCACTAATATATAGATATATGCATAGTGATGTTTCACTTTAATCATGGAAAACTTTATTTTTGGGTTACTTTTTTTAATCTAAAAATTGGGGATTTTTTATAAGAGAAAACCAGGATCCCTGGTAATATTTTTTTATTAAACAAACCATCTATCTCTAATAACCCTAAATCCACATTTTTCAGTGATTTAAAATAAGACACCACTAATATATAGATATATGCATAGTGATGTTTCACTTTAATCATGGAAAACTTTATTTTTGGGTTACTTTTTTTAATCTAAAAATTGGGGATTTTTTATAAGAGAAAACCAGGATCCCTGGTAATATTTTTTTATTAAACAAACTAGATAGTTGCAAAAAAATAAAGGTTCTTTATTCGCAAGCTTTCAGGCTTACATGCCCTTCCTCAGGCATAGGAGAGTGCAAAGATTGTAACATTTCTCCCTGTGGAAATAAAAATTCATATTTCACAGGAGAGCCGAAAAATGGTGTCAGATCTCCTGGTTGCAAAAATTCATTATATTTCATAGATTTCATAGACATCAGGGCTGGAAGGGACCTCGGAAGATCATTGAGTCCAGCCCCCCGCCCAAAGGGCAGGAAGTCAGCTGGGGTCATAGGATCCCAGCAAGATAAGCATCCAGTTTCATCTTGAAGGTGTTCAATGAAGGCGCTTGAACCACCTCCGGTGGCAGGCTGTTCCAGACCTTGGGGGCTCGGACAGTAAAGAAATTCTTCCTTATGTCCAGCCTGAAACGATCTTGAAGTAGTTTGTGACCATTCGACCTCGTCATCCCTTGGGGCGCTCTGGTGAACAAACGTTCCCCCAGATGCTGGTGGTCACCCCTGATAAACTTGTAGGTGGCCATCAGATCACCCCTGAGCCTGCGCTTTTTCAGGCTAAAGAGCCCCAGGGCTCTCAGCCTGTCATCGTAGGGTCTGCTTCCCTGACCTCTGATCATGTGCGTGGCTCTTCTCTGGACTCTCTCAAGCTTCTCCACATCCTTTTTGAATTGTGGAGCCCAAAACTGGACACAGTACTCCAGCTGCGGCCTCACTAAGGCCGAGTACAGGGGGAGAATGACGTCCCGGGATTTGCTGTAATTTAAAGTTTACAGCTGCGCATGCCAGGACCTGAGAACTGTAATGCTGAATTCAATTCTCAGCTAATTTAGTGAGGATATAATGGATTATCCAAAACTATGCACAGTTTCTATGGGCAGTTATTTGATGAGGATCGACATTTAAGGAACAATTACGGGGCCATTAAAAAAAAGCTCCTAAAACCATGTTTAAGTACTTAAGAGTCCCACATTTCAAGAGAAGACTCCTATTAGTTCCCATTGCCATCAATGGGATGTGCTGGCAATGCTCAACATTTTTCGAAAATCAGGACACTTGTTTTAAATATAAACCTTTATATTAAAAAAAAAGCTTTATCTTCACCTGATCATTATAATTCTAATAACGATCAGGATTTTAACTGTTACACACGATTCCTGGATATTCCCTGACAGATTTTAATATTCATGCACTGTGGTTTAAAAACAAATCTCTAGAGTAAAAGATGATTCAAGAGCTAATTTTATTGTGTGCAATATTCTTGTCTGTTAAAGACATCTGATATAAATTGCCTTAATTTAAAAACTACAACAAAAATCTATTAGACTTTCTTGTTAAATTAAACCTTCTCAAGAAGACTTGATTAATGTTATACTGCATTAATTAATTTGAAATCTGTTCTCTTTGCATTTAAAGAGCTATCTAAGCACCTTTCCTTCATTCCATTTTCAATCATATGGAATATACTAAACAAAATAATAATATATGTACGTACAGATATGGTACTTTAAGTTAAGACCTAAAACCTGTGCTCCTTTCTATAGTAATGGATAATGAAGAGCTCATAGTAATTTTTATGAGATAACTTGTCTTTATCTTTTCACCTCATCTGCCAAGGGCACTGGATAAGCATCTCACAACACCCCAAAGGTAGCAGCAGTTCATTGGTGTTGTGAGCCTATGGCCTCCTCCCAGCTTATCTGCATAGCCTGGCTTATTTGTGGCTGCCTGCCCAGTCCAGA